CCATGTAAGGGTCCCTGACTCAAACAAGCTCAGAATGCAGCCAGCCTTTCCCTGTGTTTTGAATGTTTAGAAATGAACAGTACACATGACATAGGATTTACTACCGTTCTGTTTGTCATTCTGGTTTCCCCTCTTTGGGTTCTTGTGGTGGTGGTGGTGGTGGTGGCACTGGGAGGAACTCAAGAGTGTCCTGCATTCTAAGAGGCTCTACCTCTAAGCCCCACCCACTGACCTTACGTACCTACAGATTGTTCTGTGACCTTGGCTGTAACCAGCTCCTCAACGATAAGGATATTCTAAAGAGAAACTTGTGTCCCTTTGTCTAGGGCTGGCCAGGAGGAGAGGCTGAGGCCCTGGGAGTAGCCAGAGGAGGGACTTACCTTCCAGAGAAAGAGCTACAACTAGTCAGACACCCTGTAAGAGACTAGAATTCAGAGCCGGGCGGTGGTGGCGCACGCTTTTAAACCCAGCACTTGGGAGGCAGAGGCAGGCGGATTTCTGAGTTCGAGAGTTTGAGGCTAGCCTGGTCTACAGAGTGAGTTCCAGGACAGCCAGTACTACACAGAGAAACCCTGTCTCGAAAAACCAAACCAAACCAAAAAAAAAAAAAGAGACTAGAGTTCAGGCAATGACGGATCAGTGGTGCACAGGGCCACACCTTGACTAGAACTCTTAGATTGTCTTTGCATTAGAACCCTACAAAAGGACATAACCCTCGCCATTGTTTTAGAATAGTGAAGACGGACTTTGGGGGAGGTCCCCTAGATCTTTCTCCTTCCCTGATGTACCTACATTGAATAAGTCTCTTTTTTCTACTTTTCTCTATTCATTTAGTTTTCTTGATTGGCTCGTTGAAGATGGGTGGTTGAGCCTGGCTTGTCAGGGCTGCCAGAGATCTGACCCCTGACTGTGACATCACCACTACAGGTTTTTTGTCACCTCAGATTGATAGTGAGAAGCAGAAAAAGGACCACAGGCTTAGCAGGGTGCTCAGAAGGTCAAGGATGGCCTGGGCAACAGAAAAGCCCCCTTCTCAAAAAAATAGACTTGGTGTGATTTCGTTTTGTTCTGTTGAGGCCGGGCCTCACGTCTGTAGTTCTGGCTGTCCGGGAACTCACTAACTAGACCAGACTGGCCTGTTCCACACAGTGAGTATGAAGATAGAGACACATCTGCTGGCCTCTGCCTCCTGAATGCTGGGATTAAAGATGTACAGCAGTAACTGTGGTCCAGTAATGGGTTATAATACTGTGGTCCAGTAACGGGTTATAATTCACCTTAAAAAGTAAGACTCTAGGCTGGAGGTTTAGCTCAGTGCCTCAAAACTTGCTACGAGCTCCAGGTTCAAACTCCAACACCACAGCACAACAAGAAGCAAGCAAGAAATTAAAAATCAGAAGGTCATGGTGACTCACACTTTTTGTACGTTGGTTTTTTTAGATGGAGGTCTCTCTCTGTCTTGGAACTCATTGTATAGTTACACCAGGCTGGCTTTGAAGTCACAGAAATCCAACTGCCTCTGCTTTTCAAGTGCTGGGATTAAAGGTGTGTACCACCAATGCCCAGAGTGATCCACCCTTTTCATCCCAGTACTTAAGAGACAGAGGCAGGCAGATCTCTGAATTCAGGGTAGCCAGGTACCCTACACGGTAGGGGTCTGTCTCAAAAGCAAAAACAAAACAAAACAAAAAAAACCCAAAAAACAAGAACATTGTTGGAAACAAATGGTGAAATTTGAGTAAGATCTATACATTCAATAGGGAATTGTTAAATTTTCTGATTTTTAGGGCTGAAGAGATGGCTCAGAGGGAAAGGGTACATGTTGTTCAGTCATGAGGGCCGGAGTTCAGGTGTCAGTGCCTGTGTCCTCACAATCAGCCTGTGGCTCCAGCTCCTAGGGGTAGAATCCCCTCTAGCCTTCAAGGGCACCCTCACACGTGTGTGTATGCACTCACACAGACACACGTATATACAATCATAATTTAAGAATTCAGACCTGAGCAGGGTGTAATAATACAAGCCTTCATTCTAACAGCAGGCAGATCTCTTAAGTTTGAGGCCATCCTGGTCTACATAGTGAGCTCCAGGACACCCAGGGCTACATAGTGAGACCTGTCTTGAAAGACAGACCAGACAGAGAGACAGAAAATTCTAACTCCCGATTTTTGTCTAATGTAAGCTAATATCTGTTTTTAGGAAATACCAATTAAAGTGTTTTTGGGTAAAAGGATATGCTGTTGACAAACTACTAAATAATTCATTAAAAATTATGTACTTGTAAGAGCCGGAGATGTAACCCAGTGGTAGAGCAGTTGCCTGGCCTACTTGAGGCCCTGGATTCTATTCCCAGCATCAATCAGTCCATCAATTAGGAAAAAAGAAACAACAACAACCGAGGAGCTGGATGTGCCAGTGCGCACTTTAATCCCAGCACTCCAGAGGCAGAAGCAGGTGGATCTATTTGAATTTGAGGCCAGCCTGGTCTACATTGGGAATTCCTGGAGCTACATAGTGAGACCATTTGTCAAACAAACAAAAAGAAAAAGAAAAATACCTACAGAGGATTTGTAAGATGGCCCAGTGGGTAAAGGCACTTGCCCCCAAATTTGACAATCTGAGTATGGACCCTGGGACCCAAGTGTTTGAAGAAGAGAACCAACTGCTCCAAGTCGTCCCCTGACCTCATCAGCACCATGGCATGCACACACACACACACACTAAATAAAATGTAACATATATGTATAAATATGTATAATGAGCTGTACATGATGATGCATGCCTGTAATCTTTTTTTAATAATTTACTTTTAATTTTATGCACATTGGTTGTTCTGCCTCCATGTATAAGGGTGTTGAATCCCCTGGAACAGGAGTTACAGACAGTTGTGAGCTGTCGTGTGGGTGCTGGGAATTGAACTCCAATCCTCTGGAACGGTTGCCAGTACTTCTTACCCCTGAGCCATCTCTCCAACACTGCATTTGAGAAAAGCTCTTACTTAAAGACACAATAATCCCATGATTGTATTAATATCTGTATTCCAGAATTCATGAAAACTTTGAAAGCATATTGAGTTTTTTTTTACAAAGGTTTTATGTTTTATTTAATTAATGCATTAATTAAGCTTTTTGAGACAGGGTTTCTCTGTCTAGTTCTGGCTGTCCTGGAACTCTGTAGACCAGGCTGGCCTTGAACTCACAGAGATCTGCCTGCCTCTGCCTTCTGGGTGCAGAGATTAAAGGTTTGTGCCACCACACCCAGGTGTATTTTATTATTATTTATTTTATTAATCTTGAGGAGTAGATGAAAGAGATTCAAGATTTCCCAGCTACTCTCAGGACACAGAGTTCAAAGTCCAGCCTCTGAAAACTTCAAAAACCTGAAAGGGACAGAAATACATGTGTCTCCATGCTATGTACACAGAGGGCCGAGAGTAGAGCTGCATGGTACAGCACTCACCTAGCATGTACAAGGCCCACCGGTTCCTGGAACTGAGAAAAATAAATGAAAAAATGAATAAAAAGTTAATAAGGAGGTAAAGAAATTTTTTACAGCAGATGGACTTTTTCTGTAAACTTGAAGTTTAAAACAAAAAACATGCCGGGCAGTGGTGGCGCATGCCTTTAATCCCTGCACTTGGGAGGCAGAGGCAGGTGGATTTCTGAGTTGGAGGCCAGCCTGGTCTACAGAGTGAGTTCCAGGACAGCCAGGGCTGTCTCAAACCCCCACACCCCCCCCAAAAAAAATTAAATCACTTTGTTATTTAATTTAATCTCTGCTCTACTATCTACTAAGGTTCTTGGATAAACTGTTTTAAGACTTTTATGAAATATAAATTTAGTTAAAAATAAAATACACCTGGGCATGGTGGCACAAACCTTTAATCTCTGCACCCAGGAGGCAGAGGCAGGCAGATCTCTGTGAGTTCAAGGCCAGCCTGGTCTACAGAGTTCCAGGACACCCAGAACTAGACAGAGAAACCCCTGTCTCAAAAAGCTTAATTAATGCATTAATTAAATAAAACATAAAACCTTTGTAAAAAAAACTTGATATGCTTTCAAAGTTTTCATGAATTCTGAAATACAGATATTAATACAATCATGGGATTATTGTGTCTTTAAGTAAGAGCTTTTCTCAAATGTGCTAGAGAATGGTCTGAAATATGTTTCTTCTGTATCTTCAAATTATTTTGTTATGACATTTATTTATTTATTTATTTTATTTATTCGGTTGGGGGAAAGTCACCTGATGAACCTTAACCCTCCTCTAAGCCATCCTGTCTTTCTTTTTTCTCTTCATTCATTTATTTCTTTATTTTTGAGAGAGGGTTTCTGTGTGTAGGTAGCCTCCTGAAACTAACTCTGTAGGCCTTGAACTGACAGAGATCTGCCTGCCTCTGCCTCCAGAGTGCTGAGATTAAAGGCCTGAAGTGCACCACCACGCCCTGCTTTTTTTTTTTCCTTGCCTTTTTTATAAAAAGACCTCGCTGGTCTAGCAGCCTGCACCACCACGCCCCCGCATTTACACTCCTCTTCCATCCCCTCCACTCCCTAGCCCGTCCACCCAGAGATCCACCCCCTCGAGCCAAGGTCTCGGGTAGCACAGATTTGCTCCTGTCCTTTAGGCTAACTTTGACTTTTGTGCTTCCACCAAGTGTGATTGGTTCTAGCCGTGTAGCTCCAGACGCTGGTTTTCGGAGGTGCGGGCTTCGAACTTGCCAGACAGGCACGCTACCAGCGGAGCCACAGCCACATCCGCAGTTGCAGGCAAACCTGATGAGCGCCAGCTGGTTGGATCCTGAGGCAATCCGGAGTGTCTGCAGGGGCGCTGCACTCCTGGACGCTCCCACCCGCGATTGCCCGGGGTTTGAGGACGCACCTTCCACGCAGGCGAGCCTCTCCGCCTCCTGCACCCCGCACCACGCGTCTCCCCAAGCCTTAAAAGTGGACCCCAAAGTCCAGGCCCGGGACTTCTGGGCCAGCCTCCATGGCCAGGTCCCGGGCTTGTTGGATTGGGATATGGGCAACGAGTGTTTCTTGTCCTTCACCACGTCACACTTGTCCGAGGCCGAGCAAAATCGTGAGTGGGGCAGTGGGGGAGGGGCGCGTGGGCTGCTGTCGCGGCATCGAGTGGGCGGACTGCCTCTGGCTTCCCAGGCTCGCCACCTCACTGGGATCAGGGTCTCGAACTCCATGCAGGAATGGGTGTGGCCCTTACGGCAACTGAGTCCCTCTCAATTTTTATCCCGTCACCCCCCGACCCCCCGAACATTCCCAGACGTCGTCTGAGCTTTGGCGCTTGCGCATGGGAGCTTCGCAGGCCGTAGGCTTTATTTTTCGGTGTAAAAACAATCATTGTTCTCTTTGGGGAGATATCCTTGCCTCTCTGGTTGTTGCTGTTTATGGTTTTGTTTTGAAGCCCAGGCTTGCCTCAAGTCTTAACAGTTGACCTACTGGTGCTGTAGGCTTCGGCCACCGTCCAGACTGCTAGCACACCTCTCATTGTTTTATCCGTAGTACAAGATGGAGTTAATATTGCCAGAAGGATGGTGGACCTGTTCTTTATAAGTTTTTCCCTCTTCCTTGGGCCGGAAGTTCAGTAGTTCTAAGTGATCACCCTCGCTTTTAAAGTGCTTTTTTAAATCCAGTGCAAAGTCGTTGGGTCAACACTGCTTTTCCCCATTGATAGAGCCGTCATTCCCACGTCTGATTCTCCAGAAGCTGAGACTGGAGTGATTGAGCCCAGGAGTTCTAGACCATCCTAAAGGTGTCTTCTGCAAGGTCCTAGTCTTTGTTTCTTGGACAGGTTTTGTGTTTTGTTTTGAGACAGGTTCTCGCACTTGTAGCATTGGGCTGGAGTTCCTGGCTTGGGGCTATTTATCCGTGTAGGAACAGTAAAGTAGCCCGTTAGATGTTGGGGCACGGGGTTCTGGGTAGAAATGTGATTGGTGACACATTTAGAGTGGCTTTGGTATATGGTTAGAATTTAAGGAGTGAAAACACTTGGACCAAGGCTGAACCCTGAGGCTTTCCAGTGTAGAGACTGAGGAAACATAACCATCCCCAAAAAGACAGCCAAGAATGAAAACAGTGGTGCAGCCTACAGGAACCCTGCTGTTTCAAGGACTGAGATTGGGAGATAGGCAGGAGGGTTTGCAGCTAAGGTTACCCTGGGCTTCAGCAACACTCAAGGGCTTCGTGGGCTGAGACTCTGCCCTCCCCTTCCCCCAGTGGAGGAATAAAGGGGGTCAACAAAGGGAAATGGGATAAATCTGATCAAAGACATCATTATATATGTGTGTGAAAATGCCGTTTGTTGTGAGACAGGCTCACTGTATGACACACATGGAAGTCAGTAGGTCCTACAGGAGCGCGAATTCTGTGATGAGGTTAAACTCAAATCGGCAGGCCGGGCCACAAGCTCTGTGACTGGCTGAGCCATCTCACAGGCTCTAATATGCTTGCTTGTATGTCTTCTAAAGGTGTTAAATAATTTTTGCATTCCAAATGTAATCCTTCCACCTCAGACTTTCAGGAGTTCCAGACTGGGATTATATTACCCTGTATAACCCCCCCACCTTGGCTTTACTATGTTTTATGTCAGTCAAAGTTGTCATGCTGTTTTTGTGCCCCAAATTCACAATTTTCCAGTTTAGACTCCCACGACTGAGATTACAGGCGTGCACCCTTACGGATGTGTTTGTCAATCAAAGTTGTTGTGTCTTTTGTTTTTATTATTCAAGACAGGGTTTCTGGATGTGTTGCTGGCAGTCCTGGAACTGGTCTTGAACTCAGAGAGAGCCACCTGCCTCTGCCTGGCGAGTGCTGGGTTTAAAGGCCTGCACCACTCTACTGGATAAAACAAATATTTTAACACAAGACAATCCAAATAAACATCAATTGTATACTTACATACCGTGGAATGATGGTAGTAAAGCCATAAGCCTTTAAAGCTGGATATGGTATTACACTAGGAGTCACAGGCAGACCAGTCTCTGAGTTCAATGCCAGCCTAATCTACATTGCAAGTTATAGACCAGCCAGGATTACATTGTGAGACCTCCCCCACCCCCGTCTCAATACAATCTTTTTTTTTAAAGATTTATTTATTTCAGGTATGTGAGTACACTGTCACTGTCTTCAGACACACCAGAAGAGGGCATCAGATCCCATTACAGACGGTTGTGGTTGCTGGGAATTGAACTCAGGACCTCTGGAAGAGCAGTTGGTGCTCTTAACCACTGAGCCATCTCCCCAGCCCTCAGTACAGTCTTAAACAATGTTTTGCCTTGTGTTGTGGTTGAAGATTGGATCCCAGACTTGTGCCTCTCGAACAAGGGCTTTACCGATGAACTGTAACCTTAGCCCTAAGGTCTTTTGGTTTTCATAACAAAAACATGGTGGCCAAGGAGCTCAGTGCTCAGTGGTTAAGAGCACTTAATTCTGCAAGTATGTGAGGTTCTGATTTCAAATCCCCAGCACCTGCCTCAAAAACTAGGCATGACTGTGCCTGTACCCCAGCATTTAGGAGTAGAGGGGTACTTCTGGTTCAGTGAGAAACTGTCCTAAAAAAAAAACTAGGGGCAGTTACATGCTTAGCAGGTAAAGGTTCGTGCTACCTGTGTCTCATATAGTTGTCAGAGAGAACTAGCCCCCTTTTTTTTTTTTTTTTTTTTTTGTTTTTTGAGACAGGATTTCTCTGTGTAGTCCTCGCTGTCCTGGAACTCACTCTGTAGACCAGGCTGGCCTCAAACTCTCGAACTCAGAAATCCGTCTACCTCTGCCTCCCAAGTGCTGGGATTAAAAGCATGTGCCACCACCGCCCGGCCAAATGCTATATTTTCAACTTCGTAGCTCCCTTTTATACTCCCCACAAAACAGGCACACAAACAGGAACAAAACAGGAACAAAAACAGGAACAAGGAGATACGCTTGGCAGCCTATCACCTAAGTTTGGATTTCTCCTCAAGCAGTCTTTTTGGGGAAATGCATAGAGACGGGGGAGCGGGCATAACAGCACAGGTGCAGAGGATGATGACTCACACTTATGACCTATACATACCATAACACATGTACCCCCACACACCAATTAACTGTAATTTAAGAAATATATATGCGGTAGATGATGACCAAGGAAGACACCGGAAGTCCTGGTCTTCACATGCACTCATACAGGTGCCTGCATACATACCCATGTATATTCGTGTTCTGCCACTCAGAAGCTCGACAGCAAATACACATCCTCTACATCTCTCACGTACACACATATACGGGTGCCCAAACACATCCATGCTCAACACCACACATGCGAGCCACACACATAAACCCACAATAAAGACAATAAAGGCAGACAAGATGGCTTAGCAGGTAAAGGAGTCTGCTGTCAAACCAGATGACCTGAATGTGGTCACCAGGGCTCACAGGGTGGAGGGAACTTGCTGGGTGTGTTGGTGAATGCCTTTAAGACCTCCCCTCACCGGGCAGTGGTGGTGCGTGCCTTTAATCCCAGCACTTGGGAGACAGAGACAGACGGATTTCTGAGTTCGAAGCCAGCCTGGTCTACAGAGTGAGTTCCAGGACAGCCAAGGCTATACAGAGAAACCCTGTCTCGAAAAAACCAACCCCCCCCCAAAAAAAAGACTTCCCCTCCCACCCCCCATAAAAAGAAAAAACAAAGAATTTTGTCCGATGAAGACACTGCAGTTTAAGCCCAGCAGTGGTGGCGCACTTTTTATCCTAGCACTCGGGAGACAGAGGAAGGGTGGTTCTCTGAGTTCGAGGACTGCCTGGTCTACAGAGGGAGTACCAGGACATCCAGGGCAATACAGAGAGACCCAGTCTTGAGAAACAAACAAAACCCCCAGAACACCACTACAATTTGTAACAGAAAATTCTCAAATCTGAGCTGATGCTTCTCGGGTTCCTTTGTGGTGTGATGGTTTGCACAGCACCTAAGTTTGTTCTCCTTTCCTTCCGTCTTTGGGGGTTGGAAGTGGGGAGGGGTTGGTTTTTCAAGACAGGATCTCTTTGTAACCCTGGCTGTCCTACCTACAGACAGGAATTCCACCATCCGTGACCTCCACTTTCAGTCCAACCAACTGTATAAGGGGGTAACTAACTCCTAATTTACTAAGGTCAGGCTATATAATGAATGACACTTCTGAGCAGGGGCTGAGAGATAGGGCTGAACATTGCCTGATGTGCTGCCATCTTGCAGGCCCAAGAAAATGTAATTTAATTAAATTATGCTAATCTTGAAGTTGGCCGTGTGATACATGTCTGTAATCCTGGGAGGCTGAGGCAGGGGTATAGTGAGTTTGAGGCCAGTCTGGGAATTATAACAGAAACTCACATCAGGAGGAAAAGGAGCAGAGGGGAGAGAGAGGAGGAGGGGTGGAGGGAGAGGACCAGGAGAGAGAAGAGATACTGAGTTTGAAGTACTTGTCAATAATCCAAGCAACAACATCCATTCTGCAACTCTGCCGTAGAAACTAGCAATGATGTGTAGCCAGATTTGGGAGCGGTGGATTTATGGATGGTAACTGACAGGCGTGAGATTGTTCAAGGGTAGAGTATGTGAAGTAAGAAAAGACTGCAGAAAGCTTGAGGTCAGAGGTGAAGGGAACACCGGTCTCTATAGCATATACTACCTGGGCTTAGCCCACACCTGCCCCAGGAGATCTTCAAGGCCCCAGATTATGGGGTAACAGTGGAAATTCTAGAATGTCTTGACTCTCTTTTTGCCAGTTGCCAAATACAGACTCCAAATAATTGAACCACCAAAACTGCCTCTCTCTTGACTCTTTTCTCTCTCTCTCTCTCTCTTGGCCAGTTGCCCTATACAGACTCCAGATTGTTGAGCCACCAAAACTGCCTTTGGAAAAAATACCCAACCCTGATAATGATGGTAAGTAGTGAGTTATGTGGCCAGGATTCCATCTCCTGAGCTGGAAGCACCTTGCTCCCTAAAGCCAGTGAATTTGAGACATCTCCTATTCCTCTACCCAGGTCCGGACATTAAACCCAATCTGTGGATGTGGGTGAACCCAAACATCGTGTATCCTCCCGGCAAGCTGGAGGTTAAAAAGGAAGACCCGCCAGTTGTGCTGCCTGCCTGCCAGCCAGCCCTGAAAGAGGAAGAAGACAGCTGTTTGGAAGCTTCGGAGACGCTGTCACCTCCTCGCAAGCAGAAGAGGAAGCAGAAGGAGAAGCACATTGCCTCTTCCCCTAGCATCTGGGAGGAGGTATGGATGGGTGGGCACAGGGTTGAAGCATCAGCAGCTGGGTTTCTGAGGGCCAATAAAAGATGAACGTGTCTAGACCCGACCTGTACCCTGGGGCTGGGGAGAAGGTTGCATAGTGGATGCTAGACCACTCCCCTTTCTGCCGCCGCACACTGGAGCCGAGGCCGAGGAGTCAGGACCAGATCCTACTCTGTGCCCCTCTAGCTTACAGAAGAGGAGGAGGCCAAGGACCATGATGACAGCTCCTCTGTGACTCTCCCATCCCTTCCCACAAGGGCCCCACTCCAGAGTCAGCTTCCGCAAGCCATCAGGCCAGAGGGGAGGCTCTGGTCCCGTCCCCCGCTCCATTACTTCCATCTGATTGCTTTGGCACTCAGAAACAGTCCCCCCTGTGGTCTCAACGTACAGCAGATCTACAGCTTCACTCGGTATGTGCCCAGGGGGCCCTTTAAGAAGGGGAAGGGGAGGGTCAGGGTTTAATAATTTCCAACCTGGCCCTGGGCTGCTGACTCAGTTTCCCCTTCTGATTTTATTTCCCCAGGCAAATGTATGCCTGCTCAACATTCAAGAACATAACCCCTCCCACCCCTTCGCCTCTTAAAGTTCAGCCTTCCCTCAAATACCAATTCTCCTGGGTCGAGTTGCAGTTTCTCCCACCCTGCCCCTAAAGATTAGCCAGAATAGAATTCCAGTGTCCCCAACAACATCTCCCACTTTCCGTCCCTTAGATTGTCCTGTCTGGTACAGAACCCTGTACCTCCGAGGGTCAAGGAAGCCTCACTGAGAATTTGCATTGTATGTGTCTGTGTATATGATCATTGAAATGAGGGCTTCTTTTTTTGAGACAAGGACTCACTTTGTAGCTTGGGCTGGCCTGAATCTCACTGTATAGACTGGGTTAGCCTTGAACTCAGAGATCTACTTGCCACTGCCTCCCGAGTGACAGGGTTTCTGTGTGTAGCCTCGGCTGTCCTAGAACTCACTATGTAAACCAGGCTGCCTTCAAAATGAGAGCTCTACCTGCCTCTGCCTCTTGGGTGGTAGAATTAAGCTGCCATGACCAGCTCATATTCCGCTTTGATGGGCATGTGTGAGTGTGACAGAAGCCTTCCTGGTTTAGGCAGAGTCCCTTGTCTCAGAATGGTTTTTTCTTGGGTGGCTTAATCCTGTTATTGGTTCTGCTTTAATCCTACTGTCAAAGTCCCCAGCTCTTGAGGGAGGGCCAAAAGTGAGCCTGAGGTTGGGGGACAGTAAACTGGGCTTAAAAGAAGAAATTTCTCAGTCCTAGCATGGTGGCACAGGCCTGTGATCCCAGCACTCAGGATTCAGAGGTAGGAGGAGGGCCAGGGGTTTAAGGTCATCCTCAGCTACCCAGGGAGTTCAAGGTCAATCCTGGGCTACATTAGACTGTCTCAAAGACCGAAAGAAAGAAAAGATGGTTCATAAACTGAGTCGTTCTGTCAGCAAAGTGCAATTCCAGACCAGCCTGTCCTGCTCTGCCCTGAGAGGAAGCTGAGGCTCCTGGCCCTGGGGAAGAACAAGGACCAGAGTGCGTCCTCTTCAGAGGCGCCATGCCTTTCTTTACTCTTCCTCCCTGTCCACAGAGAGCACTTTCCTTTTTTCCGGACAGCTCCAGAAGCCTGGAAGAATACGGTCCGTCACAATCTCTGTTTCCGAGACAGCTTTGAGAAAGTGCCGGTCAGTAAGCAGAGCCAGGCCAGCACTCGGCCTCAAGCCTGCCTCTGGAAGTTGACTGAGGAGGGACATCGCCGGTTTTCGGAGGAGGCCCGAACCTTGGCTTCCACTCGGCTGCAAAGTATCCAACAGTGCATGAGCCAGCCAGGTGTGAAGCCTTTTCATGCATGAGCCCGAGGGTGGGGGACCTGAGGCCCAGACTCTAGGCTGGATGTGCCTCCCCAGATCACACTCCAAAGACATCTGCAGGACGCAGGGGAGAATAGGAGTGATTGAGACCCTCTAAGTGATGCCTTCCTCTGAGACCTCCCATGAGAGTGGGAGTTTGTGTGCAAAAAAAAAAAAAAATAGGGAAACTGAGGTTGCCTCGGGCTCTGCTCACAGCCTAGAATCCAGGCACAATGGCATTCGAGCTGGGTAAAAAAGTATGAGGGTTTATCAGTTAAGAGGATTCTGCTATAGCAGGCAGAAGGGCTTCAAACGTGGTAGCATTGGGACGTTAAGCTCTGTCAGATAGCGTAGCAGATCCCGGGGCAGAGCAGGTCAAGATTGCAAGCTCCTCTGAACTCTCTTACAGATGTGATGCCCTTCCTCTTTGACCTTCAAGAAGAATCAGCCATACCTTATTAAAGTTTCCTTCAGCAACACCTGTGTCTGTGTGATCTCTGAGGATGAGGCTGAGCCGGGAGTGGGAGTCAGCCTCAAGAATGAAAGTAGGGGTTCTGGAAACTGGCAGATGATGGATGGATGGATGGATGGATGGATAGATAGATTAGATAAATAGACAGATAGATAGGCTTGTTTCTCCATGGACTAAATGAACCAATTGAAGCCAAATCAAGTATAAAGAGGGCTGGAGAGATGGCTCAGCGGTTAAGAGCACTGACTCCTCTTCCTGAGTTCAATTCCCAGCAACCACATGGTGGTTCACAAGCATCTTTAATAGGATTTCATGCCTTCTTCTGGTGTGTCTGAAGACAGCTATAGTGTACTCATAAAAAAATTTAAAAAAAAAGTATAAAGATAGGTTTATTGAAAGCCAGCTTTTGGGTAAGTGTTCACTGATCTCACAGGTGGAGGTCAGAGAAGTAACGTGCCCAGGCTAAAAGCAAAGGGGTTTTATGGGCTAGGGCTGGGATTATGCCCATATAAGGTAAAGAGGGTGAACTGGGTGGGTAGCTGGGAATTTGGAGAAAGAGAGAGATGACAAGTTAGCCCAGAGTTCTCTTACAGGGGAGATGGGGGAAGAGCAATTGGGGTTTCCTAGCTTGAGCAGGGGTTCCAATCAAACAACCCCAGCCTCTTTGGGTACAAGGGCACTGATTCAGATCTGGCTGCTTCCTGCTGAAGAGGGGCAAGGAGGGAAGGGGGAGATGGGAGTTTGTGGGTCCATGCTTGGAAGTATGAGTGCAGAAGCACACACACACACAAATAGCCATGTTATTCATGGTGCTACATGCCTGTGATCCCAACATTTAGAAGGAACACACTGGAGGGTCAGGAATTCAAGGCTGTTCTTGACTACATGATTTGAGGCTATTCTGTTTTACCTTAGAATAGACAGGAAAGTTAATTTTATCTGAATCCTGATTTTCTTGATTTCTTTAGCTTTAGCTGAAGACTTCTGAGTAAGCGCCTTCCTGCTCTCGGGTCAATTTTCCTGAGGTTTACCTGGTAAAAAGGCAGAAGTGGCTCTTTCGTTTTTCAATGATTTATTTAGTTCTACTTACGTCTGTGTGAGGGTGTCAGATCTGGATCTGACATGAGCTGCCATATGAGCTGCCGAGTGGGTACTGGGAATTGAACCCAGGTCCTCAGAACCTGGGCCTCATAACCACTGAGCCATATCACCAGCACACACATATTCTTTTCAGACAGCCTTACCATATATCCCTTGCTAGCTTTGAACTTGATATGTAGACCAGCCTGACCTCAAATTCAAGGATCTTCCTGCCTCCTGAGTGTTAGGATTAAAGGCATGTGCCACCATGCTCAGTCTTTTGTTTGTTTGTTTGTTTGTTTGTTTTTCTTTTCGAGACAGGGTTTCTCTGTGTAGCCCTGGCTGTCCTGGAACTCACTCTGTAGACCAGGCTGGCCTGGAACTCAGAAATCTGCCTGCCTCTGCCTCCCAAGTGCTGAGATTAAAGGCGTGCACCACCACTGCCCCGTGAGGTAGTCTCTAATGTTAATGAAGAAATGAAGGTGCCAAAGAGCATGCAGGCAAGCAGTAAAAGAGAGCAGGCTTCCTTCTTCTATGCTCATAATGAGCTGCCAGCAGAAGGGACATCTCATACTAAAGGTGGATCTTTCCTGAGGGTCAAGATTAACCAGCAGTTCCATGAAAGATGAGCGAGAGAAGGGGGAAGCAGAGATGTAGAAGGCCTTTAATTCCAGCATGTTGGAAACAGAGGCTAGTGGATCATGAGTTCTAGGACAGTCAGGACTCCCCAGAGAAACCTGCCTTGAACTCACTTCAAATTATAAAGAAAAAAAAAATTCCCTCACAGGTGAACCCAGCCACTTGGGGTTTAGTTCCAGACGTAGTCAAGCTGACAACAAAAAAAGCCACCACAATTCCACCCCTAGCCAACTTGACACAATCATATCTCCTCATGCCCGAAAACAATAACCAGGTGATAATTATGCCAAATGTGATGTAACTATCTCATACAATCCCAATGCCTTGTAATATTTAACCAGGCTATAATTCCAGTTAATACAATAGATACAACTACCCATCATACAACTGCAAATACATTATAAATTTTAGAATAGGGGCCAATGTTCCATGAGGGACATTCTCTTATAATTGATGTTACATTACATGCTAGAGCTAGACAGAGAACACAAATATTCATACAAACACATTCTTAACAATATATGACAGAAACACACTCTTTTTTTTTTTTTTTTTGGTTTTTTGAGACAGGGTTTCTCTGTGTAGCCCGGGCTGTCCTGGAACTCACTCTGTAGACCAGGCTGGCCTCGAACTCAGAAATCCGCCTGCCTCTGCCTCCCAAGTGCTGGGATTAAAGGCGTGCGCCACCACCGCCCGGCATGAAACACACTCTTGTCACTTATATTTCTGTAACTACTGTTCGTAGCTGGAATTTAAGATTATCTTCCTCTACTACTCATTCTGTTCTTCCTCCACCCTCAGCAAACACCTCAGCAGGTCTTTGCTGGAGGAGTGACCCATACCTTCATTCCTGAAGGGTCTGTGCCCTTTGTCACCCTGCCTGGGTTAGGTTGTTGTAGTTTCCCATTGACGTTAATCACAGGGTGATGTCGTGACACCAAGAGATGCCCTGATAGATTTCCTGCACGCCAGACACAATCTTCTTACTTCACCGTGGAGAAGCAATTCGGTTTCCTGATGGTGATCTGTATCAGTCACCCCTCTTAACACTGTTACTCCTTTCTTAGCCTGTAGGTTTAAGGGTATTAGAAGCCCAGAGTGGCCAGGGGGATTGTTGTTGATCCTCGCAGGAGTGTTCCCCCACTCTGGAACCAAACCTTATAGGCCAGCAGAACTTAAGGTTGTGGGAATAGGAAGCAAAAACTCTAGTTGGCCACTAGGGGTGATAGTGAATGGAACGATTTCCTTTTTCACCCCTTGATTCCTGGACCCGCAGATCCAAGCTACGGAAGAAACCATACCATATACTAGATGCTGATTAAAAGCACATAGCACCTTCTGGAGAACACTAACCCTAGTCTTCCAGGCTGCTGCCACGTAATTGGTGCTGTAACCATGTCTTCCAAAGGCTATTCCATATTTCTTTCGGGCCAGCTGCTTCAGGATGATGAGGAACATGGCAGGATCAGTGGATCTCGTGATCATGAACCCACGGTCACACTTCTCTAGCTATAAAGTGAGTCCTTTGTCAGAAGCAATAGTGTGTGGAATACCATGATGGTGGAGAAGGCATTCGGTAAGTCCATGGGTGGTGGCCGTGCAGGAAAGGGCAAATCTATAACCAGAATAAATATCTACTCCAGTGAGGACAACATGTTGTCCTGTTCACAGCAGAAGTTGTCCAATGTAGTCAACCTACCACTAGATCACTGGCTAGTCACCCCAGGGAACGGTACCAGTGATGGTCTCTGCTCTTGGCAGATGTGACACTCAGCAACAGCTGTAGCTGCTCACCTTGGTGAGTAGAAATGCATATTGTTGAGTCCATGCAGAGTACTCATCTCTGCCACCATGGTCATTTTGTTCATGGGTCCATTGGTCAATGACAGGAATGGGTTGGGAAAGAGGCTGTCCGTCCACAGAATGGGTCATCCTATCTACTTGATTACTGAATTCCTTCTTCAGCTGAAGTCACCTTATGATGAACATTTAGCTGGGACACAAGTATCTTCACATCCTTTGCCCATTTGGAGAGATCTATCCACTCTACTTCTTCCCCAGATGTCTTTCTCACGCATTTTCTAATCATGCTCGTAAGTCCCTGACCGTATATTCAATCCACTGTTTACAGACCACGAATCAGTAAACAGTCACACATCTGACCATTTCTCCTTCCAAATAAAATGTATGACCATATGTATTACCCACTGTGAAGATTTCCCCTCACTGGTATCTTTCAGGCTTGTTCCAGAAAGGGGTTGTAATGCTGCAGCTATCCACTTCTTGGTGATGCCTGGATAACATGCATAGCCATCAGTAAACCAGGTCCTAGTCTTCTCTTCCTCAGTCAACTGATAGTAGGGCACACCCCACCGGGCTATAGCTACATGCTATAGCTACATGATGACAGCAGTTGGCATCACAACAGGAGTAGAAGCCGTAAGCATGTGGGCAACTTCTTCATGTAACTTGCTTGTGCCTTCATGACCTGCTTGTGCCTAATCACATATATACTGTGAGTCACCATCCTCTGCACCTGTGCTGTTATGCCCGCTCCCCTGTCTCTATGCATTTCCCCAAAAAGACTGCTTGAAGAGACATCCAAACTTAGGTGATAGGCTGCCAAGTGTATCTCCTTGTTCTTGTTTTTGTTCCTGTTTTGTTTCTGTTCCTGTTTGTGTGCCTGTTTTGTGGGGAGTATAAAAGGGAGCTACGCAGTTGAAAATACAGCATTTGGTCTTTACCAGATGACTCCTTGTCTTTCTTTCTCTCGCCCTCAGCCCTCCGCCGATCCAAGGAACTCAGTCAGCTATGCTGGCGTAGCTAACAGTATCCCACTTCCATTGGATACTAGATTGCTGCTGTGCACACCCTACTTTATGACTTGGTAGGCTAGATAACGTCTCATGATGGACATCTCAGACCACAGAGTAACTTGATAACCCACTGTCAGACATTGTTTCCACTAAGGCCCAATAAACAGGAGAAGAGTTGTCTCTCAAAAGGTGAACGAACAATTGTTTGCAGATGATGGCAGAACCTTGCTCCAAAATCTCAAAGGTCTCTTCTGTTATTCATTTATAGGGACCCGCCAAAGGCTCCACACAGCATCCCTACTGGCCACTGACGTACTACCAGGTCTGTCGATAAGGTCTAAGTGGTAGAGCAACCTGCACAATGGCCTGAAGAGCCTTCTCCTGTTCCAGGCCCCTTCAAAGGGAGCAGATTTCTGAGTCACTTGGCATATGGGCCAAAGGAGAACACCCAAGTG